CCAGCAACTCAAATCTGTGCATGAGGTTGCGTGATAATCTATTTTTATGAAAAAATTTACACCAGAGTCACCCAGAAAACAGTTTTACTGTGTGGGTGGAGTGGGTATTTTTCTCAATTCATGGAATTTGATTGGAATTCAAAACCTGGAATTCACCATTCCACTTCCCATTGGTTGCAGGAGGCCTGAGGGAGAAATTATGTGGAAAATAAGAATTAGAGGGGTCTCAATTCCTGTCATCCCTGTTTTCCTGGTTTTTTTTTTTTTGCCTTAAATATTTTCACTTCTCATTATTTCATGTTAAATGGGAGAAGTCAGCTTTAAGGTCATTTAAAATAGGAGAAAAAAAAAGATATTTACAAGCAAACAGCTGAAATAATTCATGGCTCCAACATGAAAAATCACAGGCCTTAAAGAGGTGTTGTGCTCAACTATTAAGGTATTAAAATCCTAATTTAATTAAATTAGGATTAAATTGATTAATTAAATTCTAATAAATTACTAAGATTTTATTAAAATCCTAGTTTGAGACAAAATAAAAACGACAATTTTGTCCAATAAACAATAATTTCCCGTTTTTTATTTTATGGCCACAGCAGCAGAAGATTTCTCATTTTCTGAAATTTTCAGGTACATCTGCTAAAGAAAAACTGAGTTTCTGTACTCTAGCACATCCCTACCACAAATATTTCCCAAAAGTCCTGATATAACAATGTTCATCATCAAAGATAAAAATATTTTGTCTAAACCTTGTTCATTCTTGAAGTACAAATTATTGATTTCTATGAAGACAAGAGACATTATGCTTAAAAAAAAGATTTTATTTTTCATTTACATCAAAAAAAGAGTCATCTTTCCCTGTTAAAAAGTTTATACATCTTGTACAAAAATGCAGTATAAATACCCCAGGTTTTCTTCAAATCTCATATAAAATTAGTACCATTTGAGAAAAATAGGCTCTTTCCCATACTGAACAACTGCACATTTTAAATAACATAAATAAAACCCGTTTGTAACAAATTTTAAAAAGCTTCTGGAAGCTTCTGAGCTTTCACAAAATAGCTTCTAGACAAATAAATAAGAAAATAACACTGTGGAGACTTTTTTTTTTNAAGGAGATGGGAAAGTAGATGAATGTGTTAATTATAATTCAAATATCAAAATAAAACCCCACTCCTCTCATCAAAAACCCAGGGTCTTTAGAGATGCTATAAATTTTTTAGATTGGAAAGGTTTTTTTGGGGTTGGTAACCCTTGGTGTTCTTGGAAAGGTGAGGTGGGAATGGGACAAGGGACTCAGCAAAAGGCAAAGAAAAACCCCAAAAGAGGTGGGAAGTAGGTGAATGTGTCAATTATAATTCAAATATCAAAATAAAACCCCACTCCTCTCATTAAAAACACAGGGTCTTCAGAGATGCTCAGAAATTTTTGAGACTGGAAGGGTTTTTTTGGGGTTGGTAACCCTTGGTGTTCTTGGAAAGGTAAGATGGGAATGGGACAAGGAACTCAGCAAAAGGCAAAGAAAAACCCCAAAAGAGGTGGGAAGTAGGTGAATGTGTTAATTATAATTCAAATATTAAAGTAAACCCCACTCCTCTCATTAAAAACCCAGAAAGGTTTTTAAGGAGATGGGGTTGGTAACTCTTGGTGTTCTTGGAAAGGTGAGGTGGGAATGGGACAAAGAACTCAGCAAAAGGCAAAGAAAAACCCCAAAAAAGGTGGGAAGTAGGTGAATGTGTCAATTATAATTCAAATATTAAAGTAAAACCCCACTCCTCTCATTGAAAACACAGAAAGGTTTTAAGGAGATGAGGTTGGTGACCCTTGAATGTGTTAACTATTGCTCAAATATCAAAATAAAACCCCACTCCTCTCATCAAAAACCCAGGGTCTTTAGAGATAATAAAAAAGTTTTTGAGAAAATATCAGAAATTTTTGAGACTGGAAAGGTTTTAAGGAGCTGGGATTGGTAACTCTTGGTGTTCTTGGAAAGGTGAGGTGGGAATGGGACAAGGAACTCAGCAAAAGGCAAAGAAAAACTCAAAAGGAGATGGGAAAGTAGATGAATGTGTAAATTATAATTCAAATATCAAAATAAAACCCTATTCCTCTCATTAAAAACCCAGGGTCTTCAGAGATGCTCAGAAATTTTTGAGACTGGAAAGGTTTTTAAGGAGATGGAGTTGGTGACCATTGAATGTGTTCAATTATAGCTCAAAAATCAAAGTAAAACCCCACTCCTCTCATCAAAAATCAGGATCTTTAG